GGTGGCACAGTCTCCGCAACGTTCGCCAGGCTAAGTACGGCGAATGCCTTGGATCACATGTCTGGGCCTAGGCCTAAACTCACAAATTACGACCCAAGGCGAGGCGTTGGTGTGGAAACAGCGACGTTGCAAAAAGCCAGGCGCTGGTTGTAATGTTGTAAAGCTTGGTGCCCCTAGTTAGGACTCGGGACTTCGATCGAGTGGATGTGATCCGACGAACTACTTGGAGTTCTAGACCAGTGCTCGCTTCGCAGAAATAAGTGGGGAATGTCGCCTTTCCTGCCCTCTCATTCTTTATCAGCCTGCAAAGCTTGTCAGGCCATATATCAACATCTCTGCCGCCGTCGTAGGAACTAGGAAGCACCGGCTTCCCTGACGGTGCGACTGACCCTGTGTTACAACGGGTACCGTTTTCTTGCATGATGGCTTCTCTGTTTTTGCTTCAAAAGTTAAACTTCGTTGCTCGTCCAATGTTGCTTGCACTAGCCAATTCTAGTTGACGGCCAGAGAGCCTGCTTTGTCACACTCCTATTTCTGCGGCTGCTGTTACTTACTGGGACTGCGGAAACTTGACTCCGAAAGCTGGAAGACCAAAGCTGGCGATAGCAGTGATATGTAGTAGGTTTCGCGGCCTCCGATACTCACAGTATGTCAACGGACAACCTGCGGAGCTCTGAGAGCCACGTCTTTCGTCATCCGAGCGGCCATTTCCCGGGCTCGGAAAGGGCACATGTGACCTTATTCTGGGGCATCCAGGAAGTGAGAAGAACAAAAGCTGTAAGGACGTTTTGGAAACGTGGCCACATTGCCGCAGCTCTTTCCCCGTTCGCCGGGGACATTGTTGTTTTGGCTGGATTGGGTATAAGCTTTGCAGGCTCTTCTCTGCCCTGTAAGTTGCAAGGTCATGTTCTGGTTTCTTGCGTCGCTGATCGGTTGGCCGAGAGCGCGATTTAAGGGCTTGCCTGGTTTCGGTGGATCTGGACAAACCTGACGAACATGATCACATACATAAACAAACAGATACGTATCTATTCAACAAACATACATACGTACATGCATACCTACACACATACATACATACATACATACATACGTACATGCATACCAACATACCAACATACCAACA